ACACAAGATTTATCTGTCTGTGTTGAAGCTTCTGGTGTGGAAGGGCTATTCAAAAATCGCTTGATAAAAAAGTGTCATTTTTGCTTGTCTTTTTCATTTTGATGCTCCAGATTCCCATTTCGTCCCTCTGTCTCTGTCTCGTTGTGGCGCTGACATGGCGAGTTGAAATTAGTAGGTACTGCTAGTTGGTTATTAAGCGTTTTGTACTCTTCTATTGACGCTTCTGTATTCTTTTTTAAATTTGTGATATATCTTAAAAGTATGTCGAAATGTAGCAAGTAGTACGATAAAAATTGATTAGTAATGCAAAATCAAATTAACAAAAAGTTATATTTACCTAAGTAGTACTCTGAAATTAAACCACTTTTGTTGAAATTCAGTTCAGTGCTTAAAAGTTTATTTAGTTAAGTTCAAATAAGCACAAACTCACAAACAAGCAAAAACTATATAAAACTAACTCTTTCAATAATAATATCTTTCTTATATTATAAAAACTTTGAACAGTATTGAAATATTTGAAAGAGGAAGAACTTGTTTTGTTGAGCTGGTATTATGATGTTGTCTTTTAAAAACATGTAAAGAGGTTTACGTTGCAATTGTATTTGAGTAGTAGATAAAAGCCGATTCTAGAACCTCCTCTCAGAACCTCAGGTCAAGGTCAAGGCCAAGCTCACGTTGAGTGACCATGACCTTGACCTTGCCCTGAGGTTCTGGGAGGAGGTTNCATATGTCACGAGTGGGTCAACGCTAGGCATTAGTGGGTTGCCGAGTAGAGGGACATTTTGTTTTCCGACGAATCAAGATTCGAAATGAGCACCGGTGATGCGCGAATTGTAGTTCGTCGGAGACGTGGTGATCGTCTACTCGAGCAGTGCGTGCAAGAATGCCCTATCCACCGACAACCGAGCATTATGGTATGGGATGCTATTACACATGGTGGACGTACATGTCTGCTGCGTGTATAGCAGACCATGACGGGTCAACGATACGTACATGAGGTGCTACGGTCCGTTGTGCTTCCCTACGTTCGGCGGCGTCCAGGTCTCCTATACATGCACGACAACGTCCGAACGCACATCGGGCGTATTGTACAGACCTTTGTGGAAGAGCATCGTATACGAATGCTTCCTAGGTCACCTCGTTTTCCGGATCTGAGTCCAATCGAACATGTTTGGGAAATGACTGGTCGGAGACTTCAACGTTATCCGGCTTCCCCGGCTAACGTTTTGGTGCTATGGAGGCGAGTTGAGGTGGCATAGTTGGCCATCCCTCTCGCTACAATACAGCGACTTATAGATTCCATGCCACGTCGTGTAGCGATGGTACGCGAAGCTCACGGGGATACTCTCGCTATTGATGTTTCATCTCCCAGCAGAGGTCTGCCGCTCTCCATGTGAGAGTAAGTTACACTACTTTAGTACTACTTCCATACCAAATTTTATTCCGCTAGACACACGCGTTCAGATTATACAGGGTGTGCTCGTGAATTATTTCCAACAGTGTATCAACCAATCTTTCAAACAAGTTATACCAATGTTTTTGAGACTCTCTAACCAATTTCTCGTTTTCCAGATCTATCGTTTTTCCATGTTTAATTCTTTTATAGAACTCCATCCATTTGAACATGCATTCCATGTGTCCTTGGCTTTATTCGTGTCTTTCTAATATCCTGCTTAGATCTTTCCAGTTACGACATCCTTCTTGTATTATTTGTGTTTGTAAATGTAAATGTGAAAACAGTCTACATGGAAAGCAAAACACTCTATCTTTAGATACTGAGTAGACTAACCATCTACGATGCTGGGATTCGCCATTACTTAATTTACGGGTAAAGTGAAAGTTTGAAAAATGTCTTTTATTAACGTCTTTGGGATAACTTTAGTCAGGTACCTCTAAATTTTGGTAAGGACCGTTTTGAACTAAGTCATGACGCTCCGAATTTGATATTGGAAATACCCATTTCCCTGGATCTGAACTTAACATGGATTTATTTAAATCACTTAAACTATTTGCTTGCTCTCCTCTTTCTGAAATATCCACATTTCGGTCAATCTCCAAAGACATTATTTCACACTCATTGTCAGATACACTGCTTTGTGGAGATTCAGAATCTAATTTAGATTTAATAGTTTTTTCTTTAATTTGTTCAGACACTTCAACACAAGATTTATCTGTCTGTGTTGAAGCTTCTGGTGTGGAAGGGCTATTCAAAAATTTGTTCATGGTGGAACCCATCGCTTGATAAAAAAGAGTCATTTTTGCTTTTCTTTTTCGTTTTGATGCTCCAGATTCCCATTTCCTCCCTCTGTCTCTGTCTCGTTGTGGCGCTGACATGGCGAGTTGAAATTAGTAGGTACTGCTAGTTGGTTATTAAGCGTTTTGTATTCTTCTATTCACGCTTCTGTATTCTTTTTTAAATTTGTGATATATCTTAAAAGTATGTCGAAATGTAGTAAGTACTAGTACGATAAAAATTGATTAGTAATGCAAAATCAAATTAACAAAAAGTTATATTTACCTAAGTAGTACTCTGAAATTAAACCACTTTTGTTGAGATTCAGTTCAGTGCTTAAAAGTTTATTTAGTTAAGTTCAAATAAGCACAAACTCACAAACAAGCAAAAACTATATAAAACTAACTCTTTCAATCACCGTTACAAATACAAATATTTTACTTCAATCTTCTGCAATTTCGCCAACATTGTGAAGTATTACGCAGACTATAGACATATAATAAGTAAATAAACCACTCTAGAGCTAGTGAAGCGTCCTACATTAGAAAGAGATAGCATGTTTCACTAAAAGACCAACATGTAATTATTATTTTACCAAAATATATACTACTATGTCCATTATTGTCTTAACACTATGACGTCCGGCATGTCCAATCCAGATTTCTTTGTTTCGCGCCGGTGGAACTGACTTAAAAAACTTCGGTTATCGCCGGCGTTTTTTCGAGGTTCTTACAGCCATCGGCGCATGCGCAATAATTTCCGAATGGCACCAACTTGGCGCCACCGTCACTTACCCGATATTTTTTGCGTGGAACCACTGTGTAGCCACCGGACGTCATAGTGTTAAGAAAATAATATTGATATTGTAATAGTGCAGCAAGATTTTTTTAATCGACTACGAGGCCCCTTTGACCGCGAGGCCGTCGGCGATCGCCGACATCGCCGACACCTATCGCCGCTACTGTCCAGAGTCCGCTTATTAGCAGCCATCACTTCCCGGATTACTAGACCGTCAGGCACAGAACAGTAGTAGAGAGAAATGTGCACTCTGTTAAAATAAGAGCAACACTACCCCCTCTAGATTAGTATGGCACACACGCGTGAAATTTGATTTCTATATACATACAATAAGGTCTCTATATACAATAAGGTCTCTAATTTGCGTCGGGGTTACGTTCCGGTAAAGTGCCACGCAAATCGAATCACATTATTCCAGAAGACACCATATGAATTTATTAGATTCGTTCCGGCGACGTCGTAAGCACTGTGTGAAATGCGCACACATGCAAATATTATACAAAATCATTGCTGGGATCAATGTTGGGGAGTATTTTAATAAACTATTCAATAATAAAAATATTTATAATGTATGTATGTACTATAAAAATCAATATGAACAGTAAAAAAATAATACAAATATTGTAATAACAAAATAAACTTATAATTCCTAACAATAAAAATATTTAATAAGATTTTTACGTTTTTAAAAATCATCCAAAGTTTGCTGTCTTGCAGTCATTTTGCGTGAAGTGTACAGGTCCTTGTAGCACTGAACAGCTTTGGCGACAGCATTCATTACAGTTAATTAAAATCTCGACAACTTTGTCGATAAATGAAAACGCTTCTGCTAATTTTTGATTTGTAATTTTTGTAATGTCTTCTGTGTCTGAATGCTCAGTAACATCTTCAGTTGCAGCAGTAAAGTTTTGTAGTAAGTCATCGCATGTAATTTCTTCTTCATCTTGATTTAAAATTATGTCTTCAATGTGGTTTACCTCCACCCCTTCAAAATGTACCTCTTCTGCGTATTGAACCAAATCATTGACAATCCCTTCGACTGCTTTTAAAATATTAAACTGTTTCCATATTACTTTAATTGAGATTTCATCATTGAGATGTTGAAACAGTTGTTTGAACGTCCTACGTAGATAATAAGCTTTAAAATTAGAAATGTCACCTTGATCCATGGACTGTATAAGAGCCGTTGTATTAGGCGGGAGAAAGATAAATTTTATGTTTTCGCAGATTTCGTCTACATCAGGAGTAGAGTTGTGCAATTGAACGCTCAAATATAATTAGGTCAATTGACCAGGCAATTGACCAATATACAGGGTGTCACACAACAACGCCGCAAGCTGTAACTCTGTCATTTACCTTCCGATTTTTATGAGCGAGTTATCAAATGAAATGGTTTGATGAATACTATGATTCATGCTACAAACAAACTTTTTTCAACGCCATCTGCAATTTCAAGCGATTATCAACTTTCGATTTTCAAATTGCTCGGTATGTTTTTCTTCACGTTATACGATAGAGATATTTTTTCTGAACTCATTGCTGTACAATACATTAACATTAATTGTAATTTTAGCAGAGAAAAACAATTAAAACATTTTCCGAATATTGTCTTAGTTACTTCTGTAATACTGTAGTGTGCCATGGAAAAGAACCAGAGAGTCCATATTGAATGTACCAATTTAGCGGCAAATTTGAAAAAAATTGATACGTGTATATGAAAATATTATTTATTTATTATTTACAAAGTAACAATGAAATATCAACAATGATAATAAAACAAAATAAACCAAAACACTTAGAATAACTTAAATTTTTGGCAAAAATAACTTACTAATGTGCGAAATGCCTGCGGGAATTTTATGTTTCTCTATGGCAGTTACGCCCCCTAGCGGTCGAATTACGAACTTCGAAATAATTTCCAGCTACATATTTCTCTTACCCACTTTGCTTATAAGGATTTTTTTCCCAAACCTCTTGGCCTTACCGTTGTTGAGATACAGCCGCTCCGTACGCTTAACGGGACACCCTGTATTTTATATAGCCGCTTCGAAGACAGCAAAGCAATGCAACAACTTTTAAATCGCAGCATATGCGCCACATATGTTTAGCGTAGTTAATCATTTTTAAAATATGTTGTAGTGCATCATATGTTTCTTTCCTTTCTGTACTATACACGATTGGAACCGAAGGTTTTTCATTGGTTTTATGCAGCAAAACCGCTTTCAAGCTGAGTTTTGAACTGTCAATAAATAATTTCCAGTCACCTGCTTCATATTTTATTTCCATTACGTTTCTGTTGCAAGGATGTTAACATCGTTCTCGAAAATTGGCGTCCACATGTCCTTGAAAATTCACTATTTACATCATCATCTGGACTACTTCAGCAGACAATTGGCCACTGAATCTGAACAAGGCGAACGCTACCATCAAGTTGCTATGCCATTTGAAATTAGGTAATATCTATGAGATTTTTTTTCAAACTCATTTCAATAAAAAAAATTACAGATACAGAGGAAAACAGTCGCCAAGTGCAATACTTGCGGAAATTTGCTGATGATGAAGAATTTCCAGAAGTTGCAGTAGGGTCAGCAATGGAGTCACAAGTTGACATTATGTGTGGCTTAGAAACTGATGGCAGCGATGATTACGATAGCGATGACACTAGCCCAGAACAATCACCATCGAAAAGACCTAGACTCTAGAGCAATGTTTATGAACATATAAACTTTGTTCTTCTTTAAACTAAGTTTGGCCTTAATTTTTGTTAATTTTCATAAAATCAATACTCTTCGGGCAGGAATACTCAGGTCTCAGGTCTACCTTTTGGACTTATCTTATATTTGTTTTATATATGTATTTTTTTTATTTATTCGTATTTGTTATAGTTATTATTTTTATATTCCAAATAAATATTGTTCTCTCTCTCTAATATAGTACTACTATATTACTATATACTTATATGAGAATACACTTTTATAAGTACAATTCGTAGAACATTCAAGTAAAGACGTTATTTTTCAACGAGAATTTTTTTTTTCGAAATTTGGTAATTTTTTGATAATTTCAGTCGATAAAATTATTCCAACTTAATTTTTTACATGGATATATTAATGAAAATTATTTATTTAAGCCTTAGCTATGCCTTAGTCTTTGCTGAAGAATGAAATGAGAAATCATCAATGATTCTTGAGTTATAACTGAAAAACTAAGCAAACAAACATCAAGATAAGGAAAGAAATATAAAAGGTCATAAAAAAAAAGTTTGGCCTGAGAACGCCAAACTCTTTGAAGGTTTTACTATACTGGCCAAGTACATTCATCCAAACTTGAAATTTCTCACCCCCCAGACAATGACCCCGAAAATCTTCCACAGTGTAATTATTGATGACATAATAAAAAGGATAATTTTTGAAAAACATCTTAAGAGAAACTGAAAACTAACTATAAGTACAAAGATTTTCATGTCTGGTGTTATCTGAAATTATTTATACAGATGTTTTAATACTAAATTTGTTATGGATTATTCTTAGATAGTAACAATATTAATTGGCAAAAATTACACGATAAAACATTTCCACAAATAGCGCGTTGATGGTAATTATTAGTTTCTCTTAAAAATAAAAATTTTAAAAAATTGAACATTTGAATATTTATTGATTATGGAATAAAATTAATTTATTTCATTTATTTCTGATGGGGCGGCCCTTTGCATTTCAATTAAAACCTTTATTTATATGTTGTACTCTTGTCCTGATGTATACTGATGATATTGCTTTTATTAACTGAACTATATGATTGGAAGCCAGGTCTTGATCTAAAACATGATACTTTAAATTTTCAAATACAAATTTATGTACATCTGCAAACACAACTGTTGTTAAAATGTTGGTTTTTCAAGCTAGGGTATATCAACTTTCCGTTAGTTTTAGAATGATATCAAATCCAAATCCGGTAAATTATGATTTTTCTCTTCTACACTGAAAAAAAAAAAATGTGGGAAAATTACAATGAGATGATTGGTTATTTTTGACCCATCGTTTCGTTGTAATATTATTATAGTAAAAGTGAATTTACACGTACTAACATAAATTTACATTGCAATTGTAAATTTACAGTGTAAAATTATATTACTGATATTGTAAATTGTCATTATTTAGAGTGTAGTATTAGGCTTTTTATTGTAAAACTTCAAATAGCATTGTAAAATTACGTAGTTAAATTACAAGGCAGATTGTAAGATTCCAATTTTTGTAATGTATTCTCACACAAAACATTGTACATTCACTTTTTAAAATTACAATTATGCAATTGTATTACTCCCATCATTTCAAGGTTTCCATAAATAAAACACTTATATTATGTTTACTGTTATTTATTTCAACTACACGACCTATAAACTAAAGAGAAACATAATTGTAACTTTATGAACAACAAAAAATAAAGTGTTTTACTAAAACTAATTTATAAACGAAACAGAAACAGAATTTAAATTTCTGAATACCAAAAAAAAAAGGTATTGCGCTAAAACTAATTTAAAAAAACTATAATAATTAATCAAATAAAAGTAATGGAATTACCCAAATTTAAACACTATAGAGTATAAACTAAACTTAGTATTAAGTTATTAAGGCAGTAAAGCGAAGCTGCTTTAATATTAATCTGCCATTTCGACAGCACAGCTGACTAAAATGAGATTTTAGAGTATCGATTACAGAAAAGTATTTTGCCAAAGTAGAAATATAGAAAGCGAGAGTATTTTATACATATTGACTTTACACCAAAAATATATATTTAGTTTATAAATCTTTTATAGACTTTTCAATTTCTTTAGAAGGAATATCATTTTATTTTTTTTAGTACTTACAGAACGGCTTCTTTCTGTGTTAATTTTTAAAAAATAACATTGTACAGTTTCTAATAATCCGGATATAACTTTAGGATACTGTGTATTTAGTATGAAATAGAGTCCAAAACATAACTCAAATGCCTCTATTAGATTATCCACCTCCACGACTTGTTTTTTTCGAAGAAAACTATGAAACTCCCAGCTAAAGGAATAAGGAAGTTAAACAGATAAAACATGAGTTTCGTCGTGTAATTGTAAACACGAAAAATTATTTTCATACCTATCTCCGCAACGCATGGCGTTAAGATCATCATACTGCTTTCAATTTCTTCTATGTTGTATTCCTAAAAATAATAAAAGTTTAGGTAAATTTTACAAAATATATAAAATTTTTATTTACCTCAAATTTATATAGAATGTGCTCTATTTTGTCTTTATAAAATCACGGGATACTTCGAAATAATATCTTCAACGGAAGGCGGCGAAACAATATTATTTAAAAACAAACGATGTGTTGCGTACGCCTTGTCTAATAAACTAAAGAATTCATCATTTTCTATTTTTGATCGATGCAAAACATTCAATCTATCAATATAATTGATGTTTTCAATGTGGTTAACTACAACAGGTGCCCATTGTGAGCATCCTGCCTGTGCAGAAGCTTTCCTTTTTAAAAATTTTTTTGGAGTTGTTGGTTCTACCATTGACTATATTATACCAGACTGCTAACCGCTACGTAAAAATTGGTAACGCGTAAAGTGTTATTTTTGGATTTGTCCGCTATGGGGGCGCTGATGGATTTTCTAATAATAATGGATATGATTAAGAGATGGCAGCACTATTTTTGAATTATATTCCCCCTCTTATATTTTGTTGTACTAATAATAAAAATTGTTTAGTATCTCTTTTTTAATTAATAAATAAAATTTTATTGTATGAAAACATCCATAAAAACCGGTTGTCTCTGCCAGTTTGTTTTCATTAATGGATAAAATATTAATTTTTAAAGAAATTTTCTCAATACTTTGAACAATTTTAAGAGTTCTATCTGGTTTTAAGTTAAGTATTTGGGGAAATCCCGAGAAAACTGACAGGTTGTTCCCACCAGTTTCTACGGAAAAAGTTAGTAAAGGCCGGCCTAACGTCGCAGCCGAGAGTTGGTGAGTTTACCTATGCCACTGAGAACGATGTCGGGAAATAAATGTGTTTATTACAATTGCGGAAAGTCGAGACGTACTAGTCCCGATTTAAAAATGTATTCATTTCCTCACTATGAGGAACGTTGCCAAACATGGGCAAAAAATTCAGGTTAGTAATGAAGCAGCTTTGCTTAACTTTTAGTCATTAAAGAATTATTATTACTGCTTTGATTCTTAAAACTTACTACGTGCTACATTATTATTAATTGTGACAGTTTATTAATCGTGAAAAGTCATGACAGCTAGTTTATTTGCTTTAAATATCTACAATTATTATTTAAAACTAGTTATTAAAACTAAAATTATTGGTCTTTAATTGTAAACAAGCTTTATCTTCTATTAATATTTTGAAATAAAAATAGTAATTAGACAAGGAGTTAAAAGACACGGAAACCAAATATATTAAAATACTGATTTACATCTTTATATTAATAGGTAACGCAAAATTGCTCTTACTTTCTCCTACTGCGTTAAAAAAGAAGTTTTTTTGTGGGAGTCATTTTGAACCAGATTCATTTTCGAGTTCAACGAGGAATCGTTTGCGTCATGATGCGGTTCCTATTCCGTATATGACCTATATAGAGTATTTGGACCATACAAATATCTACTTTGGAAAAAAGTATATTAGATAACACGATTGACGAAGAAAATACAACACCGACCCATCAAAAAACTTATTCAAGATTGAAAGTGACGCAAGTAGATAATGTATCGCCAAGTTCAACTGGATCTACTAGTCCAGTTACTAAATCTTGGATAACGGCGTTTGTAAACATGCCAGCAACCCCAGCCCCAGATAGACCAAGTGAAAGTAACAGTGAAGATGTGATAAGTGAATTAAAACAAGTTATTGAGATGTTAACTAAAAAAATCAAAAAACAATCCCGAATTTTAAGAAATAAACGAACTCTGATTAGCAAGCTAAAGCGCAGGATTACAAATTGCCCAATATTACAGGATATAATTGCTAAAACCAAATTCAAATCAATTCAATCCAGAGTCTTAACCAACATGCAAATTAATCACTCTTCCAGAACTCAGTGGACCAAAAAAGAGAAGATGCTAGCAATAAGCTTGTATTATAAATCCCCATCGGCATACAGATTTCTGAAAAATGATTGTGAAATAGTTTTGCCTGCCACGTCCACAATTCATGGATCGGGTTAACGAAATTCAAGACCGGCTTTAATGACAATCTTTTTTATCAACTAAAACTGAAAATTAAATCAATGGAAGAACTTGACAAATTTTGTGTGTTGGCGTTCGATGAAATGTCCATAAAAGAATATTTAGAATACGACAAATCTATGGATTTCATAGAAGGTTTTCAAGATTTGGGGCCCTTGGGCAGGACAAACCAGCATGCAAAACACAATGGTTTATATGCTACGCGGTCTAAATTCTATGTGGAAATTGCCCATTGCGTATTTTGCCAGTGAAAATGGTTTAAAGCATAAATCTATACGTGAATTGTTGCTGTTGTGTATAGAAAAGTTACAATTAATTGGTTTGAGATTAAAAGCCATCGTTTGCGATCAAGGTAGTAATAATAGCTGCGCCATGAATAGTTTGGGGGTTTCAGTGGAAAAGCCGTTTATTGAAGTCGGAGGCCGCAAAATTTATTGTATTTATGATGTTCCACATCTTTTTAAAAGCATCAGAAATAATTTATTAAATTGTGATTTTATTTTGAATGAAGAAACAATATCCTTTTCCTGTACGAAATAGATATAGGAAGTACAACAACCAGAGCTGCTCCTAAATTAACAATGAAACACATTGAGCCAAATGCTTTTCAAAAAATGTCTTGTAAATTAGCATTACAAGTGCTAAGTCATTCAGTTGCAGCAGCTATTCGGACATGCCAACAAACAAAACAATTAAATAGTACCACCGCTACTGCCACTGCAAACTTCATCGATATGATAGATAAACTGTATGATGTCCTAAATAGCTTCACACTGTATACAAAAAAT